TTACTCACCCACAGGTGTTGATCAAACTCGTGCAACATCGCTCTCGTTTTGGAAATACAGTTCATTCTCCACTATCCTACTTGTATATTGATGGCTATAGGTAAAGTGTATTTATTTCTGATTTTATCTCCCACATCCATGTTCTTAGTTCCATCCTACCACCGTCGAAATCTGTGTGACCTTGAGTGTTGCGATAAAATTTGTAGTAGTTCGAAAGTTACAGCCGAGATTTCGAAAATATTTCAAGCAAAGAAACACGGGAATTCATTCTCTTTAATAAATGAATCCTGTTCCATGAGAGTGTTTAGTAAGTTGAGCAAACGTATCCTAAATTGCTCATCTCTTTTCATTTATTACACAGTAAATAAGCAAATTGATGAAAGTATTCTAGCTTCAATAAATTGATAAATTACTTGGCTATAAACTACTCACGCATTATTTACATACTTAAAAAACTGAAAACATGATCCAAGAAACATAAAAGTCGATCTTCGAAAGTTGACCTTGAGAGGTGCGGCTCGTTGAATAAGCGTCTTTTAGTTCCACCATACCCAAACCGTTTGAAACATTCAAAAGATTTTGGCATATAATTGAAGCCTAGGGGTAGCTTTATCTAGAGTTAAGTTAGCTCTCTCGACATTGGTCGTCGGTGGTTAGGATGTGGAGTGTATTAGAGGAAACTTGCAAATTCTGTTTGGCATTCAACTTGGTGAACTCCATGCTCAAGCAACTGTTTGCAGTGCTCGAAAATGAAGAAGGGCAAATGGAACATGGACGAGTAGAAAATATAATACCTTTATGAAGTCTGAGTCATTCTAATAAATAAATTCCAGTTACATTTTGTACTATGATTTTGTTATTTTACAACTGATGCAACCATCATAAAAATCGCGAAATCGTAAATTTTAATGGCATGTAGCTGTTAGAAAATAGACATAAGTAGGTATTATATCAGATATGTTCCTTCCGATGTGGGGCAATATCATGTTCAATCTCGTGAATGAGGCTGGAAAAACAAAGCGTTGAGAGGAACAAATGTGATGAAAATACGGATGTTGCCCGAGTTTGGTCAATACCTGTACGTGATCGCCAAAGAGATGTAATGTGACATGGGACAGAATCATTTACTGTTAGGAAGCACAAAGGAAAACCAAGTGTGTGAACTTGGTGTGACTGTGACTTAAAAACAGCTTAGTCAGGGATGACAAATCCGACATACCGATGTCGCCTAGCGTAAGGGGAAGAACACGTGCCGTCCGGCTGTCAGATGAACGGTGTAAATGCGCCAGGTACTCACCTACGTGACAAGTAGGACAACTTTAATATCTGAAGAGACTAAGGCCAATGGCACTATCTGTTGAGGTAAACCATTTTGAATTCATACCAGTTTTAATTGAGAAAGAGTAGACCGGTTGTGGTTCAAGTCCTCATTTCTCTTATTTATTCGTTTGCTGAGTAAGACATTGTGACAAAATGGTCCGAATCATTTTTTGATCAGCTGCGGGGAAAATTGGCAGTCAGATTCAACGGACCAAAGAGATACGAAACTGTCGGGGACAGGGATCAAATCTTGAAATAGGCTGTTGACCTCACAGACAATATTCCGACAGTTTGAGGTAGGCTTTTGGAAATACTGAACACAACTAACACTTCCCAAGCGGCTCAGTCACATAGTTCTGCGTCGAGGACAAAACGGCACATCTTGTGTCCCAGCTCAGAACAGTTTTGATAACAAAAAATAATGCAAGCTATGTTATCATTCTGGAGTAACAGAAGAAAAGTGTGATGAGAGTTCAAATCATGCCACAGCTCACTCGCATCGGATGGCACGTGACTGGTTCGACCTCGCTATCGACCTCCCCAGTTTTGATAGGCCTAATGTTTATTGATCTGTGTTTCATCCGCTAAATCGATAAATCAATTTGGCATAAGTACAGTCAGCCCGCTCCAATTCAGTGACTAGTTTTCTTCCTCAACTAGGAGCCTACACAAATACAACAAAAAACCTCCTTGCCGTTCTTTTGTGTTCGGTTTACATTCGTAGTCGTTAATCATTCTAACTGTGAACGTGAATTCGATCCAATGAGAGGATCAAGAGTTTTGTTCGCTTGTCTCTTGTACCAGGAAAGTTCAACTTCATGAGTGGCTGTGACAATGCCTGCTCATACCACAAGGCCAGCATAGAGTCGAAGCTATTTCTAACTCGTCTTTTCAGATGCAGGTGTCTCTTTGACTCTTTTAACTGTTGCAAAGGTGAATTCGTCGTGTATATGGCAAATGAAGTGGCCCAGTGGGTAGTACGCTTGCGTTCTGCCCATGAGGTCCCGGGTTCGATCCCTGTTCGGGTCGATGGATTCGCACTGCTGATGAGACCCAACCAGGTCGAAACAGCTGTCCACTGTTTCTTAGCTTTTCAGTTCACTCTTCATTTGCCATATAATGAACTTCACGATTGGTCTGTGACCCGATCCTTTGGACTTAACGTCAGTAAATGCATCAAAGTTCCATTTAGTCCTAAAACCGGTCCCCGTTATTTTTCATTAGTTGATAATTTCCCTCAGCTTAGAATTAACAATCAAAGTATTCCCAAATCTGCGTCTATTAAATACCTTGGTGTCACCCTTATCCATAACCTGTCCTGGTCTGCTCATGTCATCAACGTTTTCACAAAAGTTCGAAAACTGTCCTTCTATGCCTACAGGCTCAGGAAACTGGCCATACCACACAATCTTATTCCTAAATTTGTGATTGCTTGCAATTTTCCACACTGGCTATACTGATCCCCGATTTTTATCCCTGAACTGAAAGAAAAAGACTTCTCTTTATTTTCAAGATCCCTTAAACTATTGTCCCGCTACAATGGAGTTGAGAAAGTTGTTTTAGTTGATTTCTTCATTTCCAAGCATCTTGACGCTTGTGATACATTCATTGACAGGATAACGCGTGATCGGGGGCGATGTCTGCACCAAGATATCGCCAAAGCCCTATCAATTCCCCGGACACGCTCCAAATATCAACTCCTTTCTGCGCGCACTCCCACATATCGAAACAGTGTAATTCCATACCTAGCTCGTTTACCAGTAAATCGTCAGCATATCCTCACTCACCTCAGGGAAAAACTCTTGACCTAATTTTTTCTCTTATTTATTAGAGTACAGAATTTCTCATACTGTATTTTTTGTTTGCAATTATTTTACCTATCCACTGTAAAAATCGTAAACTGCTGAAAATTCACCTTTTGGGTGCATAAAGCTTTTCTTGACCTGACTTGACTTGAATTCACCTTTGCAACTGAGTCCAGTCTTTTAACTGTGTTGATGCCAGGTCTTCAAGTGACAGAGGACAACACCATCCAGAATGCGCTATTGTGAAGAAGGTTTTCACACAGACACACATGCACCGGACACTTATGAGTTGCTTGCTCTCAATTTTCTCGACTGATACTGGCACGCTACGGTCTAGGTTTTACGATATTAAAACCAGTAGAAAAAACTCGGACATTCCGGACACTGAGTGAGTCAGTAAATCGTTTTATAGTAGGTGACTTATTACTGAATTAATTTGTCTGTGTGCATATCTACGGTACACCGACGGATGAGTTTCTTCAGGTAAGCGAAAAAAAACTAAAAAACACTGATGTCTGTATAATCGCACGGAACTATGCAAAACAATTCCAGTTCATTAATCTTGACCTATGGGCTTGAAATGTTAAATGACCGCATTGCTTCTCAATGCTAATGGTTTCAGCTCCAAAAGTAAAGATTCACGGTGTTGTCAACAGAAGGATGGGGATCCATGAGTTCACCATCTGAACCGCTCGTGGCAGATACATTTTGAAATTAACAATTGGTCGTGTAAATAAGGCATGGTCTGAAAAGCTGAAAGGCACTGGATAGCTGTTTTGACCCGGTCAGGTCTCATTGGCAGCAGTGCGCGAATCTATTGATCAAACTGGGGAT